TGATCATTCAATTTATTTATTATTTTTCTTTTTATTTTTCCTTTACTTAAATTTCAACCATAAACTATAATTGAAATCATTTTTTATATTATGTATCACGTATATTGCATGAGCGGGTGATCGTGATCATTGGAAATAAAAGATATTGGCTAGTTAAATAATTAAAATTTTGGTTCACCGTACAGCCTCATTAAGTACACTGTACTCCCAATTTTTAGGTGTACACCACTCAATTTTGTTGAACAGAAAATTTTATTTGTAACACAATTAAAGTTATTACAAAATGCATTCATAAATGGATCACATGCGTTACCTCACTCTCGTCTAAAGTAGTTAGGGTACATTCCGTTTTTATTGTTTTTATTCTATTCGTTCCATTTTTATTCTATTAATTCCAATTTTATTCTATTAATTCCATTTTTATTCTATCATTTTTTTTTTAAAAAACAGAAACCTACTATTAATAAATTTACAACTTGTCAACAACCGGAACAAAAACAAAGTATTGTCTCTGTTCGATATTCATTTGAGCACAACTTCCTTTTCTAGGAAGCTATGAATAAAGTATAATATTTAAGTTTACATTGTTCTCATTGTTCCATTATCTGATACATCATTCATTGGTTCTAAAATTGATTTAATCATTCTCGCATAATCACGCATTTCGTATAAAACAAGCTTTACTATTACACATCGAGATATTTCAATAGGAATGTTATGTAGACTTTCTGGATACCTATAAATTTTGTATATAATGACCACTTATCGCTGCTTTCAATTTGGTACAATCATCGATGATAAATTATAATAAAAGAAAACCAATTACTCAAGAAAACAGAAAAAACATCACATTTCTTTATAAAATATATAATATTGCTCGATATTAAACCAACCTTCTTGTACTGCGGTACTATTTACTTTGTTTTCGAATAATCAGCAATAACTAGGTTTTTAAATTATAATTTATTTTTGATAATCGATATAATTCAAAACAGCGTTACCGATATAAGTGTAAGTGTAAAGTTCCTTGTGCATAAATTCGAAAATGCAAAGCAATTTAAAGGATTCTATGAACGAGTTCTGCAAATCCATGGAGCAATGGAGCAATGGTGAAGGAGAGTCTCGTCGCCATGCCTTCGATTCTGGACAACTGATATTAAAAGCAAATCAAGCGAATCCGAATTCCAGGGGCACAGATGGATCCACTCGTGGAATTTTCATTATCGGTGATCAAAGTTCTTCAAAATCTACCACCGTGAACAGTATCATCAAACAAGTTGCACTTCAAATGGGTAGCAGTACAGTCACTAAAATCAGAACGTGGATTGAGCATCGATACGATCCAGAGTTGGAGGATCCAAAGTATGATCTAAAGATAGAACACCATAATTCAGGAGGAGTAACTGAACTTGTTAAAGATGGCACTCTACAGGATCTAACCAACAAATTCACGAAACTCAACGAGAAACATATGGATGACGTAAAGGATGCTCGAATTGTCATTCACTCCAACATTCCATCCTTTGCAATAGACTGCTGTGACAATCCAGGATTGACGCCGGTCAATGCTGAAATACAGAAAACTACCGACGGTATTACGCGTCGCACGTTAGAAAAGGTGTTGGAGCGTCAGAAATTACAAAATGATAGCATAGTGGTGCTATGCATATCTGCCCTAGTTTTTGAAAATCCATCTTGGCCACGACACATGGATTTGATAAAAAAAATTAATGGTAATAATTTGATCGTCCTTGTAACAAGGATGGATCAACTCAATATACAAGGAATTGCCCAGGAGATGAGGGGTGACCAGGGAATAAATAACAATGATCGTCTTCGCTGTAGCCCCATGGATATCCTCAGGTTTATTCGTGGAAAAATTGAACAACAAGCTAAACCTCATGAATTTCCGGAAGGCGTGCAGTTTCATTATGCAGCTTCCAGCAGCAAAAAGTGGGATGATCTAATGGTGGAAGGGTGGAGTGAGTTCGAGAAATCGGAACGAAAGAATAACAGCGAGATGATTAAAATTCTTTGCGAAGTTAAAAATAAATGGCTTGATTATGGAATCGAACTGACTGACCTGAAACAGAAAGAAGAATTCATGGAGTCTGTCGGAATGCCGAAATTACAAGAAAGATTGCTTCAGAGATTGCATGTTGATATTTTGAAGGCCACGGAAGAACTTATGGATCTTATGTCGAAACATCAAGTTCAGGAAAAAAAGGAACTGGAAAAGGTGTCAAAAAACATTAAACATTCCAAATGTCAATCTGAATTGATACCTGAATTCTGCAAACATTTTATATCGTTGTTTCAGACACTTTTTGCTTCACCGCTATACTCCCCACCTCTTCACTCCAATCCTCGGTTGATAGAATTTTACAACGGGATAAAAAGGGCGCGGGAAACTATTAAAGGATACGGATGGACCTTGAAGGACATGTGGGAGATCTTCGAAAATCTTAAAAGCACCGACGGATACGCGGAATTTCCACCTAAAGAATTTCGAGGAGAGGATTTTCAGAAATACGTGAATAATGTTGAAAAATACATCAACTCCGCTGATAAATATTTTAATACGGCACAGATGCTAGTAACGCGACTAACGCAAGAATGTACCTTGCGATCAACATTAATAGAGTTACGTGAACTTGATGTTGATGAATTTGTTGCACGTCAAGTACAAGCATCAACGTCGACCCAATTAAATTTTGGTCAGGCCATCGATCAGCAGATCAGTGAGGACTATAGCCGGATTTTCCATTCACAGGAGAGGAAGAATGCCGACCAAATTTCAGGAAATTATGTCGATGTAAACGGAGGTAACCAATGGGTAGCGATATTTGGAGCTTTATGTCTATTGCTACACGCAGAATATACTCTCCGTATCATGCGTGACACTCCTTATTCTTCCTTGCTACAAACGCAGAGCGTTGATCCTATGCAAGGGTTATTAGTCACTAGATTTGAACGGTACTGGAAACATAGAAGCAAAAATTCGCAAGATCTGCAAACCACGGAGAACCAAATTGCAAGGATTATGATAAAGATGAAAAGAACGAGTTCCAAAAAACCTTCACCCACAAAAAAAGTACCACCCATTGAAGATATATTGTGGGCGCTCTATACCATGTTCTTTGATCGTCCATACAATAATTTTAAGCAGACGTTGGATGGACGTACGGATCTATTAATGATGACACATGCTAACTCACTTGTTCACTTTTATCAGTTAAGTAGCATCTGTGTACATCAGGATAGAGAATATCTGAAGCAATGGGGGTCAAACAATACGGATTTGGAATATGTGAAAACTTTTCTGGTTAAGGAGGAAGATGTCCAGGATCTTCCAAAAGTATCTGAAAAGAATGATAAGAATAAAAAGAATGAAAAGGGTATCATGGAATTGGTGACGGAGAACCTTCAAAAGCTCCGGAAGAAGGAAAAAACTAATTATGAATTAGGGGAGAAACGCCGGATCTTTACAAACTACTCGGAAGAGGCAGTTGAACGTGTTAGATCTATTATAATGGGCAAACCACTAGTTCCGGAAGAGAAGGTAAAGATATTCGTAGATTTTGCGGATATGGGCAAAAATCCGGACGCATTCGACCAACCAGAGAGTAAGACCAATTTCGGCGACAAAGAAAAAGCTTCTGTTAATTATATCTATAAACGTCGTCTGACAATGGGGATTACAAATTGTGTCATTGATGCTATTCAGCAGCTTGCTAAAATGCAATACGAATTCAATCATCAACAAAATGCCCCAGAACTACAACGTGAACTACTTGGCCGTGTCGCATCCTTGATGCTTGGATATGGATATCCCTACCACCCTGATACTCGCCCTCCATCAAAATGGTACCTATCGCCAAAGGTGATCGTCCAATTTCTTCGGGAAAACGAAGATTTCTTATCTATGCCTCACTCGCCTGAGGAACAAGACACGCACGATTATAAGGCCAGACTTGATCCTCGGATGTTAGAATCACCGATTATCAAGCGCATCTTCTCCTTGGGCAACGATGATCATAAGTACAAAGAAATATCAAACCATATCAACCAGCTTGAAAAAGCAAAACGTGATGAAGTGGATGCATATATAATCGAGTTTCTTGCCGAAGACCGATTCGATTGGCAACAAGATCAGGATAATCTGCAAAGAAAATGGAATGACTGTAGAAATGAAATAAACAATTATAGGAAATGGCATTATTATCTTGGGGCATACAAAAAAGTTGCTGAAACAGTATTACTGGATAAGGGGAATGATGTTCCTGAAATAGGATTTAGTTGGGAGGGAGTTGCTAACGAGTTTAATGAATCTATCGAGTTTGATGAATTTACCGACGAGGATGACGAACATGACGATACTTCATCTACAACGTCTGAAAAAGATTCACTGGATACTTCAACTTTCGAAGATAATTCATCCAGACCATTCTATAGAAACTCTTCTGATTCCTAGAGATCTTGAAACATATATTAAATTTTCATTTGGATAAAAATTCATTGAGAAATTAAATAAATTATGCAATATTTTAAATAAATTAAAATACATTAATCTTTCTGTTCTAGATTCATGAATCTGGTTTCATGTTCTAAAGCTTGTTTTAATTTTGCATTTTCGGCCTTGATTTTAGCATTCTTGTTTCTAAGTTCAGTAATCTCAGCTATAGCTTGGAATTCTGTTCTTCTAATAAATCGATTTTAGATTATGCTGCCATTATTTTATACAAGATATGGATATGTTCAAAAACTGGAATAAATCCCAGAAATACATATTCAAAAGTAAACACAGTTATATATTACATGAAAAAAAATAATTCATGATACGTTGAATGTTCTAATCGAAATCTTTATTAATAAAATATATAGATAAATTATATAGTAAAATACAAAATGATAAATAAAAAATCTATATCTATATCTATTCTGGAGCAGAAACTGTAGTACTCTCTTCCATTAATCTTTGCAGTGTAGATATTGATGTAAAGATAGGTTAGTAATCATTAAATTGTGCAAAAGTAATAAAGTTTTTATAAATTTAGATACAACCCTTTCATCTGAAAATTGTACCGGGATTTCAGCAGGAGATAATAATATCGACTATCGAACAAGTATGTAATTCATTATCTGTCAAATTTATTCTTATCTGGTTTTCAATATACATAAGCTCAAAAATTGTTTCCCAGTATTTTGCCACAAACATGATATCTGGACATCTCCCATGAATCCATCTTCTCTTCTATTAGCACTGGAAACACTTTGTTTACTGATGAATTAATGAAGGAGTGCCAATGGGACGATTTTTTAATGAAACTTGAATTGTTGGCAATATGATGGTTAATTGTTTTTGCAAATTTGAAACTAAAGGTGGAATTGTTCCAAATGTCTTTTAAAACCTTAAGAATTTCTTTAGTTACATTAATGATACTTTCTTTAAACTCTTTCCAAGTTCCATTGTGAACTAATTTAGTATATATTGGTCCATTTTCAAGTTTATTAAAATTTGTTACAAATTTATTACACATTTTCTGAACTATAATAAGAGGTTTTACAAGTATATATTATATACCATTAGTAAATGAGATGTATTTATTTATAAGTTCTAGCTTACAAGACAATTCTAAAATTTCCAAACAATTGATCTGCAAGTTCTGATTTATTACTAATAACCTGAATAGCCAAAGAATTTACACCAACTTTGTAACATCCTATTAACTATATCAAAATATAAATGATAATATAAAGAACTTAAGTTTCTTTTAAGTTTTTCTTTTAATTTATTTATATTATTTCTAATTTGTTCAAACTAAGAAGTTTTTTTCATTTGTTTTAACTTATACTTTACTTTTCAAAAATGAACTAACAAATCTAGTATATAATACACAGTGGTAATATAAAAATATAATTTTATTATTATTGGTGATTATAATTGATAATTTGTGTAATTTGTATAATTAATATGATATACAAAAATAATCAGATATACATGCTCAACAGCACAGGTTCTACTAGTATTCAAAAAATAGCTTCTAAATAATATTTACTGGTTGAATAATCAAAAATCAACAAATTTTTTAATGATTTGTACCATGAAATCAGCTATAGTACAAAAAGTCTAAAGACATCACACCGCTGAAATTTTGAAGATATATATATTCTTTTCGATCTATCAAAAATCACTATTCATAGTGTCCTTATTGTTCAAATAGAAAACTCAATATTTCAGTGGCCAAAGAATTAGCATGTGCTAAAAATGGAAGGTATATTTCTGAAAATTATGTTAATAATAACTCACTTCTTTTATAGGAATATAAAAATGATCATCAGTTTCACCTATTTCTTTCATACATTAAAAATAAAGGAAATTGATGTTGTGAATGTATGAAACTTGAATTTGAATTCACTCAGAATCTTGCAAATGAAAAGGGTGGGATATGTCTTTCTAGTTCTTATTATAACAGACGCATTCCTCTCTTTTGGAAATGTTCTGAAGAACATTCATGGTTTGCTCGAATTGATAGTATTCAAAGAGGAACTTGGTGCTGTCACCGGTGGTTCCTGGTTTCCTCAAGAACCACTTAAGTAGAGTGACTTAACGGTTCTTTTAAAGAGTTTATAGTCCTTTCCCAAAGGTAAAACTGTTGTTTCATTATTTTAGAAGGTACAACTGATTCAGTTATTTTAGAAAGGGAATCAGATCTTTCATTCAATTTATTCCAATATCTTTCCAAGTTTATCCTTATCTTAGTATTAATATTTGTCCATTAATCATCTTTTAATTTCATCAACTTTAAATATTATTTTCAATTATCCAGGTTAATTGTTATTTCAAGTCTAAGTTTTATAATAGGTTATAATTAATTTCATTAACTCAGGAATAATAACATTATACAATTATATAATCAAGTATTTAATTCCATAACATCCATTATTCCTTTATTAACTACATATTGTATCATTTAATAATTATTTTTATAATTTATTTTATATTTC